GATTCGTATGCATTCAATGCAAGCCGTGTACGTCGCGCGGTACATGCATTCCACGTGGTGCATGTCAACGATCGAAGCACGTCATGAGCGCATGTGCAACCATGCACTCCGATGATCAAACAAGATGCATGAAACTACATGGCTTTTATGCCGCTCAACATAATTGAACTGCACATGGCTCCTCTTTCGGGGTGGCGCAGGAGCATTGTTGCATAACTTAGTAATGATGCTGCCATGCATTTGATTTGGATGACCGGGCGCTCCTTGGCCGTCATAAGCTTCCATCGAAGACTATTTCGCGTTGAGCCTGAGCCTGTCAAATGCTCCATGTTGGACACAGGTTATTTTTCATCTTCAACGCTTCTCTCCTACGAATTGCTGATCACCGTCGGCAGACTTCTTGTCGTGCAAGGCTCTTAAACGTTATTGATGATCGTTCTCCTGAGCTTTCGTAACGTGCCAGTCCATCCTCCTGATTATGGCTCGAAGAAGTGCCACCTGTAAGATTCGTAAAAAAGGTAAGTTCAACCCAGCAATGAGCCAGACAAATCACGTTAAGCACCTTCTTTGACTGGTGACGTCAGCTACTCCCCGATGTTACTAATGTGCCCCGGTACGATTGGATAGTCGGGGCTATCAGCCCAAAGTAGGCTGCTAAAAGATAAAAACACTGTAAAACAAGAACGCGAGTTTCCCACTTGGGACGTGAGAACGTTGACGGTAAGAATGCGATATCAGCCTTAATGGACATTACGAATCTGTCGCAAGAGCTTCTCGCATGTCCGTTAAGAGTGTCCGTCAAGAGTGTCGACAATTACATCTCATCCGAACGCACAAGCAGAGTACGGAATTGCCTGGTACTTTCAGGCTTAGGCAAGGGGCGAGTTTCCACTTGTCTCCCTCTTTTCCATCCCTCCTACTCACTCGGTTGATCACTGAAGAATTTCATGGCCACCAACTTATGTAGAGGCATGCCAAGCGCTTCTTCACATTCATGACGTCACTCGGCCACAGGGAAAGGGGGCAAAAGTGCGTATGCACACCTCGGAGTTCGTTGGGGACGCCCGCACCAGCAGCTGGCGGAGCTTCGGCACTTTCGCGTTCCGCGTGTCGCCCTTCAAGAAGCCCATCTGCGCAAGGAGGGAGTTCCGCCGGAATAAGAATCACCAGAAGAGGAATCAGTATCCCAAGTAGCAGTACCTAGTGATCCTGGTCAAAGAAGCGCCCAAAATTGCAACGGGGTTGGGATCCTAAGCGTACCTCTCTGCCTTTCTTCCAAGTGTACTTTGAAGGGCAGTATTACAAAAGATTAGGTCAGGGACGATTCAAACGGTAAATGTCAATTCGAAGCCCTGAGGCTGATTGAAGGTACTGCAAGTTCAGTCAAAACTTGGCCGCCGTTGATCGCAGAACTCTGGGCGTTTGATCAACAATGTCCAGGGCAGTGAAGGGTCCAAGTTGGGCAAGAATCTCTTTGTGTGAATCGCAGATTCGCCCATTGCGCAGAGATTCAGTCGTTGGATCAATGGACTATATTCATCGAAGGGTCGACATTTGCACATCGGGTAAAGTTTTGCGATGAGCTCAAATTGGATTCGCGTCAGTGGCCAAATCTGCCCGAATGGTCAGAAAGGTCGGCAAAAGCCGGACAGGAACAGAAAGCTTGGACAAACTCAAGAGGCAAACGACAATTCGAAAGAGCAGAGGCCAATGACAAGTAAGAAGGTTTGCAAACAAATCTTCGACCGGGGCCAGACTCCAGACGGACCGGGCCGACCTCAACGCTTAGCAGATTGAAAGGACCTCGAATGGTCAACTCCGTTACGGACCCACCCTGGTTTGCGGCTTGATTGACTTCAGAGTCGGAACGGTTCAATCTTGGTTCCCCATGTCTAACGTTACCACAACCGCAAAAGCAGCCCTGGTTGCTCGCACATGTGCAGGAACAAGAAAACCGTTTCTTTCCTTTCGATTCGGACGCACCTTGGTCAGCAGATCCTCCGCCTGTTTGAGTGCGCCTTCGACGTCCGCACCGTCTGCGACGTCCGTTCGTCTGAGGGCCCTGTCCAGCCGCCGGGTCTTCCGCCAGCCGGGCCGGCCCAGGCCGTCCGGCGACTCCACAAGGCCTTCCCGTTCTAGTTGCCTTGATTGCAAGAAGTCTGCTTCTGAATCCCCCCTCTCTTCCCAGGCGTTCTCCTCCGATTGACCTGACTGCGATTCTTGTCGATACAGTTTTTCGCGTTCTTCTATTGTGCTAGCTTCCGGAGGATCTGCAAAACCACTTTCTCCTGCCAACGTGGAAGTGCTTTTATCTGCTAAATCTTGGACCCCTAACGATGGTTCTGGTTCTAAACCCGGGCCGTTCTTAAAATCTGGTGTAAACATTCCGCTTTCTTCGTGTAAGTGCTGCGGTCCGGTTGCGGATCTGGCTCTACTTTCACTGACGTCATCGTCGAGAACGCTCGACGTGCTGACGTCATCAGGGACACGTGGTACTCGCTCGGGAGCCCGATGCGAGCGGGCTTGTTGGGAGAGCTCGTAGCAGACGACGGCCACAGCATGAGAGAGGTTCTGCAAGACAACGGAACGTGGAGGGATTAGCGAACTGTTTGCGAAACAAATTGTCATCAGAAAGATTGTTTTGGAAACATTCGATGGAAGGGGAAAGCTGGGGTGCACAAAAGATCGGACAATCCTTGAAAAGGGAACCCATGAAAGAATAAATCTAGAAAAGATCAACCGAAGGGGTTGTGGTTGAGAAAGACGGGGATTTATTAAAAGTATCCCGATTAGTCTTCCGACTCGACCTGGACTCGGTTGTTCGAGTGCCAGAAAGCCGGACGGCTTTAGGGGGTCTTTCTTGAGTATCATTTAAGCTCGTGATGATGCTAGAAGTACAGGACATGAAAACGTAAGCGCTCAGCTGTGCTGCAGAGAAGAAGAGCACAGTCATCGACGGCAGCTCAAACCGCCCAGCAAGCGCACCAGGACGACGGGATCGAAAACGGAAGTGTCAATCAAGGGCGATGAAATGTGGGTTAAGAGATGGTTTGAGTCCTAACCCACCAGGGAAGAGTAGGCCGGGCTGCTGGGTATCATGAGCGTGCGCTGCGCAAAGCTCAGCTCGTCGTTGGTCAAGCCGCTATCTTCCCGACTGCAAAAGGAACAACAAATCAATCATACACTACTTCTGACGTCACTATTTGCCTCCCTTATTGACATGACATGTTCCAAAAACGGCATCTTTAATCATGATTCCATTCGCCGAAACCCTTACCAGGTTGACCGCGTTGACCCGAGATCGAAACCTACGCGACTAAACCCCTACTAACCCCAGCGGGTCCCTGCTTCGAAAACGAAAAATCCTTAGCTCCATACTGAACGTTTCATCGCAAAACTTCCAAGGGGGAGGACATTCTAGTTGGATTTTAATTTCAAGAAGACAAGAGGAGTATACGCGGATTGCCCAGGCCCTTTGACACGACTCGTGTCCTCTTTCCCTTTTTGCTTCCTTGCAGAATCCTTTTTCTTCTTGCTTTCCTGCCTTTTCCTTGTATCCTGATTCCTTTTGATTCAGACGCTCAGTGCTTCTTTATGTTTTGAGGCTATGTGCCTCCTGGCAGCTTCTCCAAAACTTCGACAGTATGAAAGCTCACAGATTCGAGGGACAAGCTGGCCATGACCCGGGAAACATTAACATTTGCAGACGAACGCTTTGCTGCGACACTTTGGCGTGCTGTTTGGGCCTATTTTTGGTCTCTAATGTAAGGATCTGGCAAACTGCCCGACATATCCATCCTTGGGGAACAACCTGTCGACGGCGCATTGAAAAAGCGAGCAGGCTGTAGTAGGGAGAACATGGACAAACGCCGGGCAACAACCAGAGACCTAGACAAACGCGGCTGAAGTCTCACTTGACACACTCAGTCCCTTTCACAACCGCAGCTGCAATTGTCGTCCGTCAATCTGAGCTTCCAGCCTATATAAGCCGTCAGTTTTGCGATAATCTCATGCATTGTGCTGTGCATCCAAAGTACGCACTTCGACTGAAGTCACGGACCCGGTATTCAAGACTTCAGAAGTTTGCCCTCTATGGGAGACACTAATGAACAGGGGGTTTGCCAAACAAGACAGCTCACCCGAAAATCATAGCCGAGCAGCCCGCGTCATTTTCCAGCAGCCAATCCAGGCCACCCCCCACCGTTCTGCTTTTCAGGATCTCTAAGGGGGGCGCCGGGGGGGCTCTTTGACGGGCGGTAGTTGCGACCGCTCTCGTTACTCCGGCTAGAGCGGCGGCGAGAGTCGGGGCCGTTGTCGCCTCTTCTAGGATTGACACCGCGTGACAGGCCATTCTGCAGGCCTGGTTACGGCAGGTTAGCAACCCGGTTTACCATGTTCTGTGAATCTGTGACATGCCTGTCGATGGCTTTAGGCACTGCCCGTTGAGGTTTGAAGATTGTCCAAAACAAAATTTCTGAACTAGCACAAGTGACATGAACAAGGGGGCCGTCATATGTTCTTCGATTTCATTATGCACTCCCCTTTCTGCGCAGACTGCATAGGTGTCAGCTCGCCTAAAAAAGTACACTTGGGCTCTTATTGCACCAGGCACTAACTTTCTAGACGGAAGCACCGTGGATGGTTAGCAGGATAACAGAATCAGGAGAAGTTCAGAGGGGGCTCTTACCTCCTCTCCTTGGTAATCAGCAGCTTCTCCCTGGGGGTTAACCAGTACCAGGTGTCTTAACCCAAAGTTTGCCATGCTCCGGGCAACCATCCCAACATTCAAGGCGCCCCGAGGCTCCACAAGAATGATCCGAACCTGGAGTAAGTAGAGTGAATTTAGCACAGTGTGTTAAGGGAAGTGAGTCAAGCAGTGAATTTCAAAGAGAGTGCGGTACTAGAAGTGGTCGAAGCAGAGTGAGTTGATCAGAATTTGTGAGCAAACGTCTTTCAAGAGAAGGTGTATTAGACGAAATGCATCGAGTAAAGTGGGCTACGCAAACTAGGTTTGAGGAACACACTAGATCAAACCGTTCCAGTTCCCAAAGGCTGACCATGATTGACCACTTATATCGCTGTTGAGCAACTCGGCAAGCCCAGGAAGCGACACTTGGGTGCACATGAGGGAAGAAATGACACAACCACCACAACTGGCACAAGAAGGAGAGAAAGTTAAGCAAAGATGGCTTCCAAGTAGATGAAATGTGACTTCATTCAAGCTATGTGACTTCCAGACCGTTAAATCTGCTGGTACTGCTGGTATATATATAGTAGTAGAATTGAAAAATGGCTGCTCACTTCGGAAAGGCCTTCATTCTCGTCTCCACCCCGATCTGAGTCGGACGCCACAGCTCGAGAGGCAACATCTCTCCTCAATGCACACACTTTCGCAGACGCTTCCGTCCGTTCGTAATTGTGGCAGAAACCCTTCTTCCAGCTGCAGTTTGTGTCTCTGTGTACTTGCGCTTCTGATGCACATGTCCCCAGAGAATTCCTTGAGAGACGCTTCAGAAACTCTGCTCCCGTTGCCTCTGGGCGAAAGCTTTTACCACCATCACACATTAAAGCAGCGTTGAAAGCGCATTTGCTGACTGCCGACATATGCGGTGTACGGCCCTGCCTAAAGTTTGTACATTGATCGGGGTTGCTCCTTTTCAAAGCACCGCCGCAGGCTGGCGTTGGCTTGTATGAGGTGCATCTAGCTGCCCACGTCTCCATGGGACACGGAAACGAGAAGAGAACTGTCTCCAGATATGGGGACGAATGGAACTCCCTTAGCGCCTGTCAAACCTCAACATTGACCCCGCTGTTGAAGAGCAAGACGGCCGCCCCTGCGCCGGCAGCAAAGTCGTAGTTTGTCGATTCTGTAAACAGGTGGATCACGCGTGAGTTCCATGCATGATCCTGACCCACGAAACTGGTACCGCTATAAACCGGTAGGTACTATACCGACAGTAACCGTTGCATGAACAACCTAGTTACAACCGGTACCCACCGACGAGACCACATGCCATTCAAGGCAGCCACTGATTGGCCGGCGCAATCTCGCTGCTAACCACCAAAGATCAACAGTACCCCGGCTCTAGTAAATTGTTATTATTATTGTTATTGTGTTTGTTATTGTAAAACACTTCGAGGTGGCCTGCGCCTCAATTTGCGTGATCGACATTCTAAAAGCTGCATCTCACGAATGCTGTTCCACGCACCACGTATTTGTGCAGATCGTGAATCGGGCCCGGCATCTTTCAGTGACGTCGGAAGTAAGACAAATTAGAAACGCAGCATGTAAGGGCTTTTACCGCGTCCCAGACCACCCCTCACAATACACTACTTCTCAATCAGTCTGCATACTCGTATGCAATGATGCCATGACGTATATCGCCCGGCGCCCTTGACTCATGAGTGAAAACAGCATTCTCAGTTGTGGGAGTGTAGACTATTTGAGAGAGCAACTTGCCAGTGACACGAATCAGAATGAATCCTGATCAGAGACCACTAATACTTTCACAATGGCGGCCCAAATCGCTTTTGAACATGGGGCGTCCGAGAAGCTCTGGATGCTTCGATAGCATGCCAACAAGCATCTAGATGGATACCCCGGAACTCGCGACGTGAGTGGATGAACGGGTACGTAACAGTGAGATCGACCAAATAAGGATCGCAAGACGACTTTGCGGGCAGATAGGATTACATCATAACATTACAACCACGCCCTGAAAGAGAACGTCAGCAACAGAACAAAGCTAGCTTGCTAAAGCTTGACTGGCAGCAGTCTCTGCAAATTTGCAATCCGCAGCGCCGCTAGTTTTTTAAGTACACCTTGTCTCGCCTACCCTTACAGTACCCATGATATCCTTTACTTTTCATCCTCGTACAGTTGATCTAGCTTGACTCTCATCCTGGCAGCCGCCCTGCCGCAACGCCCACGCGCGATCTGCTTGTGATACGTAAGGCTTGCAAATTTCGACTGATTGCCGACTCTTGGAAGTCAATACATATCCCTCAATGCATGCTGCTTTTGATTTGACTGTCTAGGCCGGAGCCCACGGACCCTTTCCAACTTGCAGTACAAGACCTATTTTATTACCTTCGTCCAGATGTCCAAGTCGCCAGCATCGCCTGCACTGCGTCTTTCTTAACGGGCTTCGTCTGCAACAAGATTCGAGCACTTTATAAGCAACGAAATCAAGGTTTCTCAAAGTTGGTTCCTCATTGCGCCTGCGCTTTAGAGCTTAAGCGAGTCGCCCTACAAATCCAGTTACAAACGGTGATCCATGGTAAAGGAGATTAGTCTCAGAGAATGCTTTGGAGGCGCTGACCTCAACCGCGCTCGGGACCTCAAACCTGTTTCGAAGTTCTCCCAAGCGACAGAATCAACACAGTTGCGACTCGTTTTCGTCACATTGACCTGGGCACTCTCACAAGCTGGCCGCATTCTCTGAGTTCTTGCCCACGTAGTTTCGAGAAGGCGAAAAAAGAGCTACGTAATATGTAGGAAGCCAAGCTGGGCGATGGACAGGTTCTTCCAAGTCCATTCGCATCCATGAATTCTGGGTTCTACAGCGGCAGGCAAGTCTCCGGATGTTGGAAACTCATTGAAGTGTACTGCACTTGAGGAATGTGAACCAGCGCCAGCTCAAAGACTACGAGGATCGAGACCCGAACCTGCCAAGGAGAAGTGGCAGGAGTCTCCGGCACAAGCCGCAAGGAGACTCGATCGTCAGGCTGACGTACTCTGACCCGTTCCGTTCTAGTCACCAGAGAGCAGGAGCAGTGTTCTGCTGTCCCTCATTGCGGACGCGCAACATCATTCTTGGGGCGATCGTAATGTCGTCGACCGCTCCTATTTCAAAAGCTGAATTCGGCTCCCTTTTCAAGACAATCCATCCGTTCAAGAGACAAGCTTGGGCGCCCTTGTCTAATCTATAATGTGAGTTCACAATAAAAGTCGAAAGGCCGTACCATGTAGTCATCCATGCCCGCGTTGAGGCACCTCTCCCGGTCGCCGGGCATCGCCATCGCCGTAAGCGCGATGATGCACACGTGCGCGCCGCCCGTCTGTTCCTCGCGCTCGCGGATTCGCTGCGTGGCCTCAAAGCCGTCCATTACCGGCATCTGCAAGGAGATCAACGGCGCTTGGCATCTTACTAATCCCACTTGATGCTCTTTTCGCACGAACTGTTGTTTATTGTGAGCTTTCCTTGTCCGTAAGTTAGGTTTCGCATCATCCGCCTCGACAAATGTTTCAAGACTCCGCTACGCTCAGCTATATCAAAAGCGACGGCTTCGGTTGTCAAGCTCTCGGAGGGGAAGTTGAAGTGTTGCTCTCAGATCACACTGGTCACTTCTTTCAAACCTCCGTTACCACTCCGAGCTTGAAATTTCCCGTAAGTAGAGAGATAGGAAATTGCGACATGGATTTGACACGCTTCGCACTACAATAGCTACTTCTCAAGGAGACCGAGTGTCCTTCTCGCTGACCCTGTCAAACAAAGGGAATACAAGCCACCCACCTGGCAGTCCATGAGGATGACGTCATACGCCCCCTTCTCCGCGGCCGCTACCGCTTCGAGCCCGTTGTTCGCCACCTCCAGGTCAGCATCCAACTTCTTCAGGATGCTGCACACGATCCGCTGGTTCACCATATGGTCCTCCACCACCAGTACGTACCGCCGCCGCTCCGGGGGGGCCTCGCCGTCACTCTGAACCGCCCCCCCGGGAGGAGAAGCATAGTCCGGGACTGAGCCCGGTAGTTGATCCGCGCCTTCGTTCCGCTCCGGAACGGACGGGGCGGACTGAGGTGGCGCGGAGAAATTGACGACCTCTGGGTCAGGCAGGTGGTCTTCCTGACCGGGCACTCCCCCCGGCTCTGAGTCTTCGGCCCGGGGGGTCACGTCCGCGGCCGCAACTAGGCCCCCGAAGTTGATGCCGGTCGCACCGAACATCGCCCACGAAGTGCTGGCGGATCGGTCGAGGACGGGTTTGGGACCGCCCGCGGCAACCGGTGCCGCCTGCTTATGGGCGGCACCCACCGCCTCGAAGAACGGTACGTACCGCACGGGCTTCCTGCAGATGATCGGGTCCAGGAGCTCCACCTCCGGTTCCAACCGGGTGATCCCCGGGTTAGTCATCAATACCACCCCCACTTTGCTGCTGACCAGATGCTCCGTCAGCACGTGTCCCCCGGACGCCAGCAGTGACCCGTCTAGGACGATCACCCTGAATGGCGCGGCTTTCGCCGGTTGGCTCCCCCCCGGGGAGACCGCTTCGTCGCCCCCCCCCGGCGGGACCCCCTTGTCGGACCCCCCCTCAAATAGCGCAATGACGTCGCCAGCCGACGTCACCAGCGTCGCATCGTAGCCCCACTCAGCGAGGTAGCGGCACAGCACCAGCCCGACTGACGACAACCGGTGGCTGACCAACACTTTGCAGGGGGGATGATTGCGCCTCAGGATCACCCCCCCTCTCGGGGCATCGTCCGGGGCCTTCGCCAGCTTGACCGTGAACCAGGTCTGGCTGCCTTCCCCGGGTTTGCTGTTCATGCCGCAGTTTCCGCCCATCCTTTCCGCGAGCATTTTGACGATGGAGAGACCCAGACCAGTCCCTTTTTGGCCGCGCCGCTGCAAGCGGATGTCGCTCAGGTCGATGTTTGACGCCTGCTTGAAGCGCACGAAGAGCCGCTCCACCTGCTCTTGTGACACGCCCCGACCTGCAGACGGAACAATGGTCGAGTTAGATACATTGCAGTCGTCCTTCAGAAAGGTGACGAGCTAGCTGATAACGATGCTTTGGTTGCCCGCTTGACGCGCACAAATAGCCGCTTCACCTTATTTTTGTCTTCGGCCCAGCTTGCAGAGGACGATAGCGAATTGCAAGTCTCGGAAGTTCAGGGTCTTTGGGCTTGCGGAAGCTTTGCCCGCTCTGGATTATAGCATTCCGTCGATATCCAAGCGAGGTGACAAAACAACGTTCTGTTGGATGACTTTACAGAGTAATCGAAGAGGCGCTCCGGTGGACCCTGCGTGACCCGCTGCCTGCAGAGGAAGTTCTGACTTCTTTCTATCTTTTTTTGCGCCGAAGGACCCGCAGTACCCGCTCCGCTCTTGCACAAGGCCGATGCCGTAATGCTCTTCAGTAGTACACAAGACAGCTGGTGGTACATGGGATAATTACTTTCTCACCTGTATCTGTACACGAGACTTTCAGCTGCGCTTCCCCGTCGTCCTCCACTACCGTTTCGATGGACACTTTGATCTCGCCCTTGTCCGTAAACTTGATGGCGTTTGACAGAAAGTTGGTCAGCATCTGGCGCAGCCGGACCGGGTCGCCGCGGAAGTGCGTGTGCTCTAGCCGGACGTCCAAATACAGCTCCACGTTCTTCGCGAAGCACACGTGGCTCATTGACGTCACTGTCTCCTCGAGGTGCGTCCGCAGGTCCAGGCGGGACTCCTGTGAAGCGAGTCGGGATCTGAATCAATCAGCTTTACTTTGCCAACCAGGTTGACGAACCGGGTTGCTCAAGCAACGCAAGGATATTTGAAGGGCTTTTCTTCTGACATGCTTCTGTCGGCAGCTTACTTCGGCTGCCTGCGCTGTCATCATCTGCAACTCCTCCTTTCATCGCAAACATTGTCCCTGAGAGACTGACAACGCTTCCTTTCAAGACCTCTTTTGAGCAGGCGTTGTTCCTTCCTTGTATCTCGTGGGAGATCTTTGACAGCAGGGACATCTTCGTGTGACCGAAGCTTCAGTTTGAGATAGGAGATTCTGAGAATAGCGGGCGAGTAGAGAGAAAAAGTGTTCGACCTTGATTCCAGGCTTCGGGTCTTACCTTCAGATCCAGATGCCCGTCTTCGATACGATTCAAATCCAGGACTTGGTCAATCAACGCGCTCAGTTGATTGCTAGACTGCTGGACCGTGTGCAGAAGTTCCTCCTGCAGGTTCGATCATCGTAACGTTAAGGTGCATCAGTTTGGGTGCAATGAGCAGGACATAACTTGCTGTAAAGCGTGATTTACAAGCGGTCTTCCAGGGGAGTTGTCATAGGGGTATTCTGGAACCAAATTCCTTGATGCTCCTTCGTGAGTTTACTGTACTTCTCATCTTCATTGCACCAGAATTATTCGGCTGCCTTCGTTTTTAGATTCTATTAAATGGTACATGACAACTTCAATCCCAATTCTGAAAAAGGAGAAACATTCTTGGCCGGCAGAGACCTTCAAGTTCGACTTAACGTCATTCCGTATGGCATGTCGATCTTCCAACGAGCAAGCAGTTCCCCGCATGACTTCAACGCTAGCTATCCCATCAAGAGAAGCCTCTCTCACCTGCATCTTTGTTAGCTCCGTCTTTGAGTCCATCAGCAGATCCGCCATCCCGATGATTCCCGCCAAGGGCGTTCGAATCTCGTGGTTGAGAGTCGCCAAAAACTCCGTGGTCGCGACGTTCGCGGCCTCCGCGTGTCGCGCGCGCCGCGCGGCCGCGTGGGCGGCGCGCACCGACTCGGTGAGGGACTGCTCACCGATGGCGCTTCTTTCCAGGAGGTACGAGCAACACTGCGCGGCAGGGCACTAAAGCTTAAAAGTGACGTCTGCTGACGGATTAAGTGACGTTAGAAGAAGCGTATAAGAGCAAGGCGCGTGCCTGCCCGTCTCCCCAAATCAAATGTCAGCAATCTTCCTGACAGGTCCAAAACCAGAGCCCCTCGCTACCGGCATCGTATAACACGTGGCATTCCGACACGCGCCTGACAGGCAGTGCGGCGCTGCCAAATAGCCCGAAAAAGTCAAATGCATCGAGTCGCTCTGAGAATGTACCATCAGCAGCTTGTTACGGTATTTTGGGTGGAGCCCGTAGACCTGATTTCACGGCAGTACGTTGATTTCACCGACATGATCTCTTCAGTCCCTTGATGGAATATGATCTTAGCACGGAAGCGGACAAAGCAGGGCCTCATACCTGCCAGATGAGAAAGGCGGCGACCGTGAAGTACCCGAAGATGATACTGCGCAAGCTCTCGTTGCTGACGTACAATCCCTCGCTCGATTTCGCTGCAACTTTGGGGACGCATCCTGCTTGCTGTTGGTGAATCGAGCCAGCCTGCAAAGTAGGACACCCTGCCGATTAAGAATCATCTGGGTAAGGACCCGATATTTCGATCCATCGTAGGTTGACCAAAATGTACGAACGGGAGTTCGGGAGTTCAATGCAAAAGTTGATTCGATTCCTTTCGGAAAGCTAAGGAAACAGTTCAAGATCTCACTCGTGTATTTCAGCATCTTGGCGCATGATAATGGACTCTAGTGAAGGATAAGAGCCAAGGTAGATCCTGCTTCGCCAAGGGAAGTTTCCCTGGAGGATGTGGCACTCAGGACCTCAGATTGCGTCACTCATCTTTGTAGCTCCACCAAAACTTCTACTAGTGCATCTTGTAACTAGTAAAAGGTGAGAACCAATGGCAAGTTCTCCGCCTGTCTGGTTGTGTGCCGGGCGATACCTCCACGTTTAGAAGAGTTTCGAGCGTTTAGATTAGTGGTTTTTCCGTAAGCCCCGGCCACAACTAGCAGATGCGTTAATGTTCCTGTCGGAAGCTTAGCCAGATCCCTTTTTTCTCTTCCTTTTGTTCAGTACCTCGAGCTTTGAGAACCGCCCAGCTAAGGAGTCAAAGAAATTGTCGGATGCATTCTTACCATGTACACAACCATGAGGATCACCGAGGCCGCCGAGGAAACGGCGAAGCGGCAGAAAAGATTGATGCAGACCAAAAGGTAGAACCAGCTGAGCCACATGTCGAGGTTCAAAGGGCTGAGCTTCTCGTCGAACCAGCAGATGGTCATGAGACCGGCCAGCGTGAAGATCATCAGCCCTGCAAGGCAGACCTCCCCTCGGAATGGGTTCCTGGCCTGCAAAAGGAGATAATTGCTCGTCACTTTCATTGAAGAATTGGTGGAGAACTCAGACAGACACCCATTAGCAACACGTGCTTCGTAAGAAGTCAAAAAGATTACTCAGAAGTGGGATATCAGCAGATAACTACGTTGCCAGCAAAACTGAGCCCGAATAAGCATCTATCCGCTTCTCTTTATGTTCGACTGTAGCTCGTCCTATGATGTATGAAGCTGAACAATGTCCAGCTGTGTAGCAAATCAACTGCAAAACTGCCATGTAAAAAATTTCAAAAGCTTCAACCGTGAGCATCCCGGAAGATGGTAAAAATGGCTAAAAATCAGATCTCCCGGCAATGATGTTAAGGGCATGAGTTCCAGCTGCTTACCATCCAGCGGGTGAAGACTGGAAGCGTGCCGAAGATTGCGACTCCCAGCAAGATGACGGTGAAAAAGCAGCGGAGGACCCAGCATGTCTGGTTCCGCGAGTAGTATCTGCAGTAATTTGAGGGAATATTCAATAGTCAGCAAGAAGCTTCACGCGGAGCCTTGCATTTTTGCTCACTTCGAGGAGTGCATCACGTTCCGAGGCGGCCGCAGGTTCTGTCAAAACAGTCTTTGACTTTCGGCAGCTTGACTTTGGATTGAGTACTCATTTCAAAAGTGCACCAGGAATGAGCCTTTAGCGCCGACGTGCCGAGACAAGGGTTGAAAGGAAGAGTTTTGGATGCGGAGAGGTGCTGGCAAGGCGCTGAGTCGCTTCAGCAAAGAGCGAGACTACACAGGAACGAATGGAGACACAACCCATTGGAATGTTGTCTTGGATACTTCGTATGATCTGCTTACCCTGATGCAAGGTAGTCAAGCAGTGGGTATGCGAGCATTCCCCCGGCCAAAATCCCGATCATGAACGTGGCGGGCCACTTCGAATCTCCAAGTTTCCAGGAGTAGTCCCCCTGAGCCTGCAGCGAAAAGCGTCGGAACTATCTGTGCAGACGTCAAACTTTGGACCCGTGCACATAACTCGCAAAACATTCAGACCAGCTTCGTGACCTCTTCTAGAGACATTCAAGCCAGTTTCTACCTCAAGACCTCAGCGCCCAAGCTAACAGCTGCCACGAGTACGCGGCCGTTATGTCCCTTGAAGTACAAATCTCAAATTCTTTCGATCCAATGCACGCGCGGTGAACCACCAGGCCACCCATATAGAGCTCGCAGATCGAGCAAAGAGAGCGCTGTGAAGAGAACGTAGACAAGAAGCTGGAGGAGAGATTCTTTGTGCCAAACACAAACTCAAGCGGGTTGCAGCAATATCTTAATTGTTTACTCATAAGCATTCAGACCGATCACCTTGGGATCTACTGTCCAACGGGCAAACGAGGGCAGAAGGGCATACGTACCGTCTGGTAGTACGCCTGGGCCTCCTCCGGCATTGAGAACGACGTTTCGGAGCTCCGTACACTGGACATGCTGTCGCTCTTGTCTCTCGTGTCCGCTGCAACTGTGGCGTCGGCAACACGTGGAGCACCCGCGGCTGCCGGCAGAGAATGTTTTCGGACACCACCTTTTTCGGACGGCTCAGAAGCCTGCCGGGAACGCGCGCTCAGACTATCCACTGATCCGACGGATCCGGCGACCCTTATTCTCTGGCTGATAGAGTCTGGGATCGAAGACGCAGCGCTTGGCCTGGCGGACACCGATTCGCCTGGGTCTGATTCGATAACCACCGGAAGACCAGATCCGCCGGACCCCGATTCCGGCGGACCTGGTTGGCTCAGATCGAGCAGCTGCAGAGCTTCGAGGTCGTCGCGGAACTTGGAGGGACCGTACAAGTGGACCCGTTGAGGACGAATGTCGTTCCCCCGTCTATCCCCACCTTTATCGGTGGTCCCCGGTCCGTTTCCCATTGCTCGCGCTTCCGAGATAGGCGCTGCGCGATTGGCCGCGCTCGATGCTTGCGCGTCGGCCGCTCTACTGTCGACCAATGTTTCAAAATCATCCAGGCTTGGAGGCTGCCGAATGTCGTCTAAACTGTGCGCCGCGGGCCTATTATATACAGGCAACTCCGTCTCCGAGCCCGGAACAGATGGTGGATCCTCGTCGTCGGACGCCGTATAATCGCCGAAGCTGGCTCGACTCTGAATCTTGCCCTGCAAAGAGCATGAAACGTTAAGGTAGCTCCTTGACTTCACACGAAAACTTCGGGCGAGGGGTCCTTCATGTTCATGTACGTGAGTGAGAGCTAGCACAAAGAACACTAGAGAATAGCCATGGCCGCTGCAACGTTTACTTGTATTACTTAGGAAATCGTCTTGAGCCCCTCTCTCTAAGCTTGAATCGGGCTCTGCAGCATATGTCCGAAACTCTGGATCATCAGAGGTTGACGAGAGAAGCTGTAAACAGTCCGGAACTGGCAGCGTTCGCCCGCAAATAGAGGGCCCCACAAAACCGAAGCAAGGAATATCAAGAACAGTTTCATATGGAAAGTAAAGAGCTCCTGTCCTTATTTCATCCGCATCGGATAAGCAAAGGGTGCTGGAGGTACCAAACCTTTGCACATTACTCTGTTAAAGAAAGGACATGATCTAACCACAGTCAAGTATGTGTAGCACCTTGGAGCAAGGATTCATGCTCACCAAAGCCCTCTCAATGTGAAAGGTGTTGATGTGCGTCTTTCGCCTCGATTGGTCCCTCTCGAGAAGCGGCACCTTTTGACGAAGAGGATTGGCCCCGAGTAGGTCAAGCTGGAAACCGCGCGCCCAGGTCTTCACGGTCTCTACCATGAGCGCTTTGGAAACTGGCCGAGTCAGCTTGTCGTTCATAAGGAAGCCTCGCGGACCCAGGCTGTCGTGCGCCGTGAGCGCGATGATCGGCACTCGTCGGCGGCCCCGTACGATCTCCTCCTTCCTGATCATTTCCGCGGCCTCATACCCGTTCAAGATCTGCGCGAAGGGAGTAAGAAGGCTCTATGCTTGCCTTGAGGACCCATCCAGCAACCTCACATTGGCCAGTCAAGTTTTTTGCTGCTAAAAAGGTTGATATCTTGTTGCCAATCGGCATTTTCGAAACCGCAACCGTAAGGGAACCCTACTCACTCGAAGCTTCCAGCAGAGGAAAAACATGCATGCGTCTCGTTCTTCCTGAAACATCATTGATACCTTCAGAATGAAGCCCCTGAAGGAAAAAGGCGGGAAGCAGTTCTAGTCTGGACTGTGAACGATGCATTTACATGCTTCGATTAGCAATCTTTCGACCACATCAAAAACCCTTGTCGCTGTCCAAGGCACAGCGAGCATAGCACTTGCAATGCAATTTAAGCTCACCTCCATCTCGATGTCCATGAGAACGACATCGTACTCCTTCTCCCGCCACTTCTCCACCGCCTGGAGACCGTTCCCCGCAACCTCAACCGCAAATCCTGCGCTCGAAAGAACCTGTTTGCCGAGCATCTGCGTCACCGCAGTGTCATCCACAAGCAGCACTTCGTGCCGCTTCAAGTCTCCGTTCGCCGCCGCATGCGAGCGCTCGGCGCCTTCCTTAACGCTTGGAAGCGTTCTAAGACTGGCTTGCTCTGGCTCCGCCTCCCCGGATCGACCCGACATCCGGTGCGACGTGCGGGCCGAGGAGACTTTCGAGTCGAGGGACGACAAACGCGGTATGTTGGAGGAACCCCTCCTTCTGGAATCTAGGTCTACGGTGGTCCGCACTGAAGCAACTAGAGGCGGCTCCTTTGTCAGCAGCGCGTCCTTGCACGCTCCGACCACCGCCTGGACTAAGTTTGCCCTCCGGACCGGCTGCTCAATGACCCCCCAAAAGCCGTTGGGCTTCTTCTGCTCCTGCTTAGTGAGCAGCAACCATCGCACTTTCTCTCTCAGACTCGTTTCAACCCGCCCTTTCAGCTCTCCGTAATCCTCGACGCGTTGCGTGACTACGACGGCCGCCGACCACTCCTGTTGCTTATAATCGCTGCTATCAATCACCTCGCCTAGCGAACTCCCAACCATGATTTCCCAACCATTTCCGGCGTCGGGCTCCAGGTTGTTTTTGAGCATCTCCCTCACGAGCATACTCGGCGAGACGCACAACACGCAAACCGGCGCCCGCGGTGACGACTTCCGCAACTTCTCGTCGGAACGAACAACGGGCCCGGAGGTCGATGCCCGGAACGGCACTTCAAACCAGAAGATGGAGCCAGTAGGAACATGTGGCTGTGCTTTGGAATTGGTCGACACGCCCAGTTGACCGTCCAAGATGTCTACAAATCCGAGCACAAGCGCGAGGCCCAATCCGAGACCTTCGATCTGCAAGCATGTTCATGATTTAGAAGCTAGTCGGAGTAGGGTTTAACAAGCTCGCCTGGACCTTTTGGCACTCAGGCTTTGGAAGATGCTTCCTTTGTGCTGGTCCTCCTAGAGGTTTACCCTGCTTCAATTGTTTCGCAGTTCGCAAGATCGACAGTAGAGTTGTCCCAAATATTATGGAATCAAGCTGTGCAATCTGGCAGAAGGGCATTAGCGCCCGAGGGCTGAAGTAATTCCTGGCTCAACGGTGTTCTTTGACGGAATCAGATTGAATCTTTTCATCTAGTGGGAAGGCTGGCCCGATAGAACAGCTAAGCGAACATTTAGTCTCACCTCCCTGGAGAACCGCATGTCGACCTGGGAGAATTCTCGAAACAGCACCCTTAGCTTGTCTTCAGGTATTCCTCTACCCGTGTCAACGCAGGAGAAGCGGATGACAAGTGCGTCACGCGCGATTGGCCCGGATTTCTCCTCGACGACCAAAGCGAGGCCTCCAGCCTTGGTAAACTTTACCGCGTTGTCCAGCACTGCGCGTGAGACATCAAATCAGATGTTCGCTGGCATTTTGCATGCAGAGCATTATGGTATTGACAGAGACTCAATGACTGCCTTCACCCAAGCAGCCTTCCGTTGCATCTTTCTGGCTCGATAGATGCTGGACTACCATCGCCGCTGTTTTAGACATCTTTTCTTGATTGTGTTTAGGGCAAGTCATGCTGTGTGCAGTCCAAGAAAGCAGCAGAAAAGCAGCACGCTCCGGGACCCTCCACTCCCTCCCAGTTTGCTAACCTCTATCAAATGTGACATAAGCACTCCTCGCAATTGGCGGGAAAGGGAGAAGAACCGGTGGCAACGCCAGAAGACGTGGACCACCTCAAGCCCGGATTCTTGCAAGGACGCAGAAACTTACAGTTAATCAAAATGCCCTGCACCACCAGTGGATCCCCGACGACGGCTCTCTTCGTCCAGCTTTGCATGATTGTCACCAACTCCAAACCCTTTGCAAACGCAGATGGTGCCACCATGTCTGCTGTATCCTCAATCAGCTCGAGGAGGTCAAAGCCCTGCAGAAAACGACATGCTTACAAGTCAACACAGAGATTCGACGCATGCTCGCTTCAAACAAGCCAGCTTTTCTATCCGGAATCCATCATCTTGTTCGGGAAGCCTTCCAAGCCAAGCGGTTTACTAGGAACAGACCAGCGCAGCTTGTTCCTTTTCAGGTTTGACGGTATCTGAAGCTACCCAGTGAATCAAAGCAAGAGTCGATCTCGAACTTCAGTATTCATGAAGATGACGAGATTGAGCGATCATAAAGCCAGGCTAGTGGCTGGTTACAATCTGTTCGAACGACGTCTTAAGTGTCCCTTGTACAACGAGAATGGATGACGAGACTGAGAAACCGAGTGCGAAAAAATACTCGAAAGTGTCTGTTCCTTTGCTGTTCTTTGCAATGTTTGAATAAGGGCTGGCTACACCTAAGGAACTCGTGCAATGAACGACGTTTACAAGAGAGAACTTGCTGAGTGCAGAAGTCAGTCTATCTCAGTTGAGAGTAAAGGCAGCCTGATGCATACTGTTCCACATCAGGCTGCACGCTTCCGGCACTCAATGGCAGTTGTTCCTTACCCTGAGATTCAGCCTGAAGCAACCGGCCTCCAGCTTGCTCCACTGCAAAGAAACCCGACCCACGTGTATTAGTTTGGAACTGTAGAGTGACCTTAATCTTACTTTGACGTTATTGACGTGTCTGAACCTGTTCATTAATTGTAGTGAATTGTAAATGGCAGCCCCTTTCCGTCAATCCTTCAAGACTCTTGGAACTTTTGAACAATCTCGGCCTATAGTCTCTCATTCGTTATCGCCAAATGCCGAGAGTGGCGCAGGTTTTGTTCGCCGTCTCTTCGCGGCTGAGAAGATCATGCATACATTCAATGCATATTACCGTCGAAAGCATAACGGAAGACGTTTTGTGAGTGTTACAAGCTGTCACTGACCTCTAGCACGTCGTTGATGAGACTGAGCAAGTCCTCTGCAGCCTTCTTCATGATAGCTGCCGATTCCCGCTGTTCTGACGTCAGCTCCGTGGTATCTAGGAGCTCAGCACAGCTTAGAATCCCGATGATCGGATGCCGAATCTCGTGACTCCTGCACAAGCGAAGAATGCTGTGGCTTGAGCACAACATAAGGGCTGACAAAATATCAGAGCAAACAAGCATTTGATAATCCAGGGTACAGTCCGCTGTTCTTCGATCCACTGCCAGCATTTGGAAAGGAACAAGCTTCTGGTGCTTGTTCGATAAGAGCGGATCCTCGGGCTTTATTGGTATCTTCGTAGAGTCATCCTTCTCGCAGCTTCGCATGCTTACATGCACTTACATGTTTGACATGAAGGCAGATTTCGCTTCCTTCGCGTCATAGGCTTGATCTGCTGCAGAGTTGGACTTCTCCGTGCTTTTGAGCTCCCAGCGGATTAGGAACTGTTTCCGAGCGTAGCACTCAAACAGGTAGGACGACCACATGAGCCAAGCCGCTACTAGGGCCATCTGCAGGACAGAGAATGCGTCAGGAGAAACAAATTCAGTGTTTTCAGTGCGAAGCCTAGCAGCAGGACCCCAACTTCGAGCTGAGGAGGATCTAACATCAGAGATCGTACAGCAGCTCGGCTGACGGCAAAATCTGCCGCTCAAACCGGAGTTTGAGTGGAGTGCTAGCAATAGCATCTCAGATGGTGCATGGATCAGTAAAGCAGATTTCATTTAGATGGACAGAAAGGAGGGCTGATAAAGCTCACGAGCACTGTCGCAGGGGACACAAAAGCCTTTTCGTCGGTACTGTGCATCTGGTCGACTAGGGTACCTCGCCGTTGGACAAAATGACCGGCAATCGTGTATACGGAGATGGTAGTAATAAGAATGAGGCACGCGTATGACGTGCGGAGTCTGATAAAGCCCGACGTCAAGCTGAGAGCCAGGAAGAGGGCCAGGAAACCTGCCACCCTGCTGAACACGGCTGGCAGCATGCTCGATCCGACGGAAATGCTGCACAGGCACTTACGGGAAGGTCAGAACCGTTTCACGTACAAAGTGGCATCTCATATGAGGATAAGATACAGAGTGCATCTTAAGGTCTTGGAGAGATTTCTGAGAATCCTTTGAAAGTGTCCATCAAGCTTTACACTCGATCAACGCTCCTGCAAGTACTTGCATGCATGGAAGGACGTTCCGCTGCATTCAAAGTACGGTGAAACGGTGGAGGGAGGGACAATATACTAACCTGAAGCAGCAAAAGAATGTGAACGGCTGCCAGTTCTGCAAGAAAGAGGAGGAATACTTCAATCAATGCACACCCGCGACTGATTACCAATAAGGCCTGCAGAGGAGCTGATTCATTGACTTTCTCAATATTTAATCCATTAATGTGGCTTTACCACTGTCAAAGATACAGAAAAATTACCAGGAGCGTTAAAGAGAATTCATCCCTCAAGTATTAAGAGGAACTGGCTTGAATCAGCTGGCTAAACCTTCTCGATCTTTGTCCGACAGGAATGAAATCCTATCATTCATTTCGTCAAAGCCTTTTCAAGCCATTGAGTAAGCAACTTCTTTAGCGCAAAGCCCGGCATGCTGCCACCCTACGAGTGAAGAACAAGATTTATGCCGAGGTTATCCTCACCTTCCAACCGAAGAGCGGGAAGTAGGAGGCCACGTACGCAATGAAGCAGAAAGTGCAGAGGATGCATCTGGCCACGAGGACTTGGTGAAACATCTTTTTGCTCTTCAAGGAAAGAAAGTCTGTGAAAAAGGCAGTATGATCCGCGTCAGGTTTCCAAGTTATCAGAATGGAGCGACGCTCCTTTCCGTAGGCCTTTCTCTGAAGAGCAAAAGGACAATGGCTTGACCGCTCGTGCATAACGGAAGAGAGTATTTACCCAGGGCAGGGCCGCGCAGGGCAGCGTAGTGCAGTGCAACGCGGACCGAGATGCAGTATGGCACTGTTTGTACATCCATTTTTCTGCTGTGTGTAAGCCTCCTCAGTACTTTGGTCTGACGACGAGCAATGTCAAGAATTACTCGACATCAAGATCTGAAAGCGCTGCCTAGCTGCAACTCCAATAACGATGAGACTTCATTGGCGAGGAAGATGTCACCCAATGTCACCGGTACTTACCAATGCTAATGTACACCGAGATAATGAGCGCGCTCGAGATGAGCGCCAGGCGCAGCGTCTTTTGGCTTTGCTTCTCGAAGTCCTCAAGGAAGGCTACTTCCATCGGATCCTGCAATGAAAACATCCAGGTGCTCTTGACGACTGTGATTATCTCCGTGTGGAGACGCCCTGCGTCCATCGTGTAGAATACTTGACGAGCAAAAGCCATGTCATGAGGCGCAAAGAGATTGAAGACGGCCTGTTCTGAAATGCGTCAACTTTCAGCGGCTTGAAAGCTTCTGCTCCCGTAAGGAGAGGAAGCGTTTAAACGAGACGATCAAGAAACACTTTGAAGCCTTGTGAGGATCTGCGAGCTTCACATAGCTGCATATGGGAACCAGCCTACTTCGACATTTGTGCTGCTCCTCAATGTACAACTCAGCTAAGATCAGCCTGCCTCTTTCTTGCCAGGGGAGATGTTTGCCAAGGCATGCCTTGACGTTCGCTTCCAGACATCATCTTCGCAGAGCAACTCACAGAGATGCGGATGTGCGGCTCTAATGCGCAGCTACCCTGTTCTTTTAGAAGTACGTGTCTCAAAACACTCAAAACAAGGTCGTGTAAGGAGAGACGTTTGCTTATCAAAATGCACAAGCAGAAGGTTTCAACCAGAAAGGCTACCTGGTTCATGCGTTCTCACCTGAGAGAAACTCATTTTCAGGCTACTGGTCCTGCAGACCATGAAACGAGTCCGCCCACGTGCAAAGCACGTAAAGGCAGCCGCCGCCAGCCGGCTGACCCCAGAGGAAACAGGGGTGATGGTGCATGCCCCCGGTTTCTCAAAGAGCATGCCTGTTGGAAAAGGCCCGTGTGTAACATCGCGCCCAGGACCCTGGTCCTTCATCGTGCCAGGGCCTAGCTGACAGGACGTCATTTCCTTCTGCGCAGTCTTGGCCCCATTGTGGATAGGTCACAATGAGGCAGCTGCTCATGCCCTACTGGAACAGATAAATGGAGGATGCTAGTCAGGTGGTTGCCTCACTCCAGGTAGCGACATCCTTTGATGGCAAGAGGGATATGTGAGTGGCAGAGTAATTTCCTATTGCAGTCTGAACACGGGCTTATTCTCTTGTTGTGAACAATATCCTACTCTTGTGTGATATTACTAGCCTTCAGGAGCAAGTTGGTGCCATTCAAGCTAGGTAAAGCGTCCAAAAGCCATGGCAATGACATTCACGGATAGCCTCTTTTTCTTAAAACTTGTACTGGTAAACTTTGATCAGCCATTGAACACAAATGATAGTGCCAGCCACTGAACCTTGGGACAAAGAAGCAGCCCCCCAAGACTGAAAGAACTAGGGCCGCACGATTTGCGCATCACTAGGGGGTGCTTGAGTAACGATGTGTTGAAACAATCGATTGCGCTAGCTTTGTCAGAGTCGAACCAAAAGTAGCGTTGAAGCAGCAAAGAGATCTCGTTGGTAGAAGTCCCAGGCAGAGAAAGGGGGGTGACTTTCTATTGTCACAAAGCTTTCATGATGGAAAAGAGATCCAAATCAGTAAGGTCAGTCATGAGCTACAGGATTGCTTTACGAGGTGAGCCGCCAAGGTCGTTCCTTTTGCCAAAGCTGCACTTTGCACTCTGTTTTACAATGGGATCTCAGAGTTGAGCGGTAAACTTCAATTTTGCCTGTGAAAGTGACGGCGACACTCTTTTTGATGAGCAGTAGAGCGAAATTACCTGGTTTGCATAGTGAGGACGGACTAGAGGACCAGCTCCAATGCAGCCAGTAAGCACGTGCTCCAATAATATCCCTATGGCAGCTGCGCTCAAAACTTGGACGGTATGATTGACGATAGCGGTGGCGGACAAGGGAATTCGCAGATTGTGCATGACATCACCAATGTGCGCTGACAGCCGATATCATGCAGACTTGCATCCCCGAGCACATTTTGTCCATTACGTCCCTGGAGCCCCTTCTTGTGTCAGCGTGTCAGAGAGACCCAGCTAGCCACAGCTCCCCTAGAGGTTTCATCTCAGATCTCGAAGAGTAAAGAAGCTCTTAGGTGCAAGAAGTCAGATTTGGCCACATTTGCGGCTGATAATGGAAGGCGGCGCCAGCGAGGGTTCGGCAGCTGGCGGTATTGATTGCTCTATCCGTCTATGACTGGAGTGCTCTGCGTCGGCAGAGCTTGATCGTTGCCGGCAATCGCCACCGTTGCATTGGAGAATTACACATCTCTGATCTGCCTTTATAGCGTTGCTAGCAAGCTGTACGCTGACCTAGATTTACTCACCACGCTAAGCCAGATGCCCCGCAATTGGGTAGATACAAGCTGGATACAAGCAAACGCCCGAGCCTAAAAGACTAATGGTGTCCTGTGAGACTAAGGTGGCTCACATACTGATTAACGACTCAAATGTCAGTCGTCTTAATCTGCCCCGCAATCTGTGCCAGGGGCCAAAGCCAGCTTGAAAGACGTAGCTGATGTACTGTGCTACGTAAGAAACACGTCCTAAACTTACGTACGTCAGGTTTTAGCAAGAGTGAACTCTAGCTTGTTGAAGATCTCCTCAATCCAGGCTGTCCTGAGCTGCCCTGCAGGTCTGCGGCAATTCGAGTCACTGATGAGTCGGCCGTCCTATCTTATAGGTAGTACCTACTAGTAGTAGTAGCGGGTACCTCTGGACATGGCGGCAAGCGTCCAATTCCACATCTCTGTCATACTGAGAATGATGACATTACCTTGAATTCATTCAACCATGCTTCGAGTCTCGAAAGCCGAGTCGACCAAATATCCTGTCCACAATCGCAACGCTTGAGCTTCTGTGCTTCAAGGTCGGGCCCGAAATTCTTGCGCAGAAGTCTCATGTGTGCGCGCACAGGGTATTCGTCGGTATGATTTACCGTCCGATGTGTCCAGCAGATGGTTTTCAGACGTTGATCGGTGTTCGAATCGGACGGTCGACGGTCGGATCGGACGGCCCAGTCAGGTTTGGGCCGGCCGCGGCCGCGAATAGGGACCCGCGAGCCCACCGTATTCGGCCATTCAGATATCATTATCATTTTATGATTTCAATTCTGCTATAGGATCAATATGCGCGCCCTTGCCCGAATCTGGATTGAAAGGGACGTGTGGATCCAGACTCAGTGAGTCTCCCGACTGTTATTGATTGACATTCCCATATTATTCCTTCAATGCACTGTCTAAGGTCCCAAGTATAGCACCATGATATACGTTTTTGTTGGATGCGATGAACCATGATATCAAGGCCGTGGCGGCGCCACCCAGCCGGGATGTGCCCGGTCGCGGGAGGTTTCATAACTCTGTGATTCAGGTCCGGTTAATGATACAGCGGTCACTGCACTGAGTGACTCGGTCATTGACCTCAAATCTCGTACACGTCCCGCATGAAGGCTGTTCGTGCAGGTCGTGATTTATTAATTCAGTGATTGTCAGGCATGCAGATTGAATTGAATAAGATATCTCATTATTTTGGATTCATCGCACCTATACACGATAAGCATGATCGATCTGAGATTCGACATACATGGGAGCGGGGCTTGGGCTTCGAGTCAAAGATTGGGTAAGTTTGTGCATTAGCCGCACTTTACTGAGGCGGGACATGCATGCACCCATGTGCGATTTACGAGTCAATAAAAGCGTATGTGAACTGCATGTGCGCAAATTCGAGTTTTGAGTTAGGTTGAACTGTGTCAGCGTCACTTGGATGCACCAGCTTTGAGCTCGCGCTCTCAACCTGAACGGATGGGCCGACAAAAGTCGTCCACAGAGTTTCTCATCGTTTCAACAGCCTACAAGCCTAGTAAGTAGAACCTATCTCGAAGCCGCTTACTATACAGTGACATGTCTCTCTTTGTCGTCTCCCTGGATCTACGTTCTCTAATAAGCTACAAGGCCTTTTTAATCTCAACATTGATCAACGCATATGTACTCTGTCGCTCCCCAACCTCCTAAGTATGTACAGGGTTCCTCAAAAACGTTTGCAAGGCAAGCACTAACTGCTGAATCTGAACAATGTCCTTGTCAGGCGCCCAAGTCTGGAGCGCTTGCTAGCCGAAACACATTGTATCGTAGAGATACTCTCACCAGCTCGCGGAAAGCGTCAGAGTTTGACTGGCGCTATTGATTCCTGAGAAAGAAGCAGAGATGTAATTCACACGTAGTAAATAGCCCATAAGCTGTGAGATAACAAGGGAAACATATTGCTAACTCCGGCGGAAACCTATGCTACGCTCGAAGTCCATGCGAAAGCACGGCGTCAGCAAGACTTGGTCCAAGACTCGACGAGGCCTCATGATTTGGGCACGTCTCTTGTTCTACGCTCGGAATGAGAAAATGATTCCCGGAAAAAGTACTGACAACAGCCAGAGTCGTGTTCGACGAAGCGGCGGACCTATTTTTCGCAGCGGCGTCTTTACTATGTGTCGCTAACAGGCTAGCCGTTTCTTCACCAAGTTGCAAGCAGTACGACAGATCTGGAGAAATGCACAAGGTTCTGGAATACCCATGTGCCAAACACACCCAAAGTAGCGGACGTGAAGCATTGTCTTTCCATTCCCCGACCGCGGTCAAAGAGTGATTGACGGTTGATGCGAACAAGGGACGCATGTACTCAAATTAGAGTGTTTCAAGAGCGTCCTTTGATTCCACTCCTGACCCTTAGCTCGTCGCTATTGAGGAATACGTTCGTCGCACCTTCATTTCGAAAAGCCACGCGCCTTCCTCCACTTGCTGCCCCTCTTTCACGGCCAACGCCTCGAGCAGACCCTCCATTGGTGCCCGCACAATGTGCTGCAGTTGAAGGGAGTTACCGAGAATGAAGTTTTGGGAACCGCATGCTAAATACGTTGATACATGTGGCCATTCATACGTTGGGGTACTGGATCATCGGAGCTTCCGGGAAGCGGTCTGAGAGTCGCGGGCTATCGACATGCACCAGCTAAGACTCATCTGTGAATGATAAGCCCTATAAATGATAAGGTCAAGCCCGGCGGACGGGTGGAGTTAGCCTTGGTGGTTAGGGTAGGTTCCGGTGCGGAGCGGGTGAATCTTTGGGTTAGGATGTCTTGTTTGTTCTTGCCCGGTAAGATGACCTTATTATTTATGTACCTTATTTTCTTGAGATCAAGACTTAAACATTGACCAGGCGTTTGTTTATCGGAATGCACAAAGGCGGGCTGGTTTTTAATACCCACAACTGTGCACCACTTTTCTATCGTACGAATGGTAGTGCTCAGAGGTCGCTAAAAAGGCCTTTCCACTCAATCGGCATGCGCGCCGTTCAGAAGGCATCCTCTACGGAGACGTGACGCACTTGCTGCAGTTGCGTGTCGTGTACAGCAACCCCAATAAATTCTGCACCTCTTCCCCAACGGCTCACCTCCATCTTCATGGCCTCCAGGATCAGAATAGGGTCGCCTTTCTTGAGCAGCGCGCCCTTCGCGGCGACCACTTTCACGACGCGCCCCGGCATGGGGGTCACCGTTTTGCCGTGCCGCTGCAGGGGGTCGCCGTCTTCCTCCCAGGGGGCAGCCTTGGGCACGGTGAAGTGGTAGTGGGCGCCCCCCAGCCACAGGTGCAGGTGCGAGCGGCCCCCCTGAAACGAGTTCGGACGACGTGATGAGGTCCTTTAGTAAGGCAGAGTTGTGCTGCTTACTCGAATTGGCGAAGAATTGGCGAATGGACCATGCGGATCTAAGACGTGCCGTTTGACTTGATCTGAACGTCGTTAACCAAACCTGGTGGAGATTCGAAGTCCAGAATGGAAAAGAAAGTAGGGGGCTACTTATTTTCCGTTTGAGTGCCGGTCATCAGCCAGATCGACGTAATCAGCTTGACCAAGGGTGATCAGCAGCCAGAATGTTAGTGAACGCTGTGATCCTTTGCATAGAAGGTTGATTGAGGCAGATGAATACAAATGCACGGACACCAGCCGCGGGTTTCAAAGAGCGGCGAAGAAGAGATACTCCTGGTAGGATGAATCTACGTACGTTAAACAACAGTCCCGGGGGTAAAAGAGAACTCAAAATCTACCTTAACAGATTCACGCAATCAGCACACTGACCCACCCTAAACCCCAGCCTAACCCACCCGTAGACCCAGGCCATGACCTTATCATACTTGAAATATAGGCATATAAAGAGGAGCGCACTTTTCATCTCGATGCGTAACGGAGCGCCGGGAGACGTTCATTCTCCGGAAGCAAGAATGAGCAAACAGTCGGAAAAAAGCAGTGACGAGATCTGGAGGAGCCACGCACCTGAAGTCTCCCCGTGAGCAGAACTGGTCATGTTTCGCTATCGCCCTACTATCGCTCACGTATGATTGAGCGGATGCAATATGGGAACGTTATCTCCTTCCGCCAGATTTCGAAATTTTCCGCGAAAAGGCATCAAGTACTCACCTGCTCAAACCTGGCAATCGTCGCCGTCTTTGCATGCCCGTCCACTTCTACTCGCAGCTTCTTGACGTCTCCGGCGTCCAACTGGGCCTTCACCAGACAGCAGTGGTCGCCAAAACTCTGCAAAACGCTTCCAATTGATCAGCGTTTTCGTTAATCTTACATAACAGGGGTAGCTTCCACCTCAATTTTTGAAAACAAGCCGCCTTGTTGAACGCACACGTCAGCTATGAGACCATCTATCGTCAAGCCCGATGTAGGTTTGGACTCTCTACTGAAGAATTGGCAACCGAAAACTAAAGAGACGCGGTGCTGACGTCATGGCTCCGTCGCCCAACATGGGATCCGGCGTCATGAGTGAAGTACCACAGACGAAGACTTGTGCATCGCAGATCTGCTTCCCTGTACCTAACACCCCTAAGAGCCTAGTGGATACAGCATACATCAGCGATGAGCTGTCAAAGCCTCACGTTGAAAACCGCTCGGCAAGCCTAGCTGACGGCACCTATGCAGTCACCACAGGCGAAGTCTCTGCCCTCACAGTCGCCAAGAGCTAGTGTGCCATTCTCAAACGCTGATTGGGCAGAATCTGACAAACTCCAATTCCTTCGGATTACTTATTCAGGCCGACGTTTCCTACACATGTCCTACAAGTCTTACCGCTTGGAAGCTGCCGTCCCGATTGTGGGCGACCGTCACGTGCTCGGCTGCGGCTTCTAGGTCGCCCGGGCCTGCTGCCTCGTCGACCGGTTGAAGGGCGACCGGTTGGGAGAAGCCGGTGTTCAAGCGGACTCCGGCAGCGGCGCTCCATAGCGTATCATCTGTAGAGCGGACCAAAGTCCTCAGATGACATAGGTATGGCTGTTTGTTGAGGGGGGGGCGGAGCTCTTCTTGGCCTCGCGACAGTGGCGCAGAATGCGGGATATCATGGTGGATGAGCGTTTGAAAGCGGTTGGGTTAGTCGGAACCAACGATGTCAGAAGGCGCCAATAACCTGCAGCGGCACAAAGTGGCTGGGCCGATCTCAATCGTTGGTGCTCGAGCACAGCCTATCAAAGAGAAGTGTCTGCAAAATGGAGGGCCTCATTACGCACATTTTTTGAAGAAGGCGGATCGTGGACCGGGAGCGAGAAGAGCGCTTGACCACACAAACCCCCTCCTTCACTTGGTGAGAGGAGGCATGGCTCCTCTGTTCCCTTTCCCGAGAGAAACTCAACAATTTCTGACATGACTTACTCGTGAGAAACAAAGCATTTATCGACTTTATCCCAAGCCCAGCTGAACGCTTCGCATCTTCTCGAACCGATCTCTGGACATGAGTGCATCCCAAAGCCACCTCTGAACGATACTCGCCTCCCCAAATCACGTACGTAGTGTGACCGCATCCCAAACCCATCTCTGAAAAATGGACGCGGCAGACAAAGTTCGACAGCTGACATTCTCCCAATGCGCTAGCACGTCCTTTCTTGGTGCTTGTTTGAGGGATACGACGGGGTGAGTGAATTGTATTTGGATTTTCTATCTTCTTCGGCCCAAATATGACCGCCTTTTGAACCCACTTCTCAACCCAATCCACTCTTGTAACTTGTTGAAGGGGTACGCGTTGCAATCAGATTGAGTACGACTTCTTGAATTCGTCGTCAATGCGTTAACCCCTTTATAACCCACCTCTCAACGTAACCCGTTCCTGCAAACACAGCCCAACCGCAGCCACCGCAAGCGCCTCCTTTTCTCCTTCGGTGTAAACACGCCCGGTTTCTAAACCCTCATAAAGGGGTTTAGCCGGCGCGGTCGCGCCCTCCTCGGACAGCCGCTCGGGAATCAGCGCCGCTCTGTGACGTCCGATGAAGCCCGTGTCCACGTCACCAGCGGAAAAAGACGGGTGGGCGGCGAGGGCTTTGAGAAACGGTACGTTGGTGGGCATGCCGGCAATCTGCAGCGAGAGGCCGGTTCTGATTGGAGGAAGGCGTTGGTAGTCAAACAAAGCGGGTCTCACTCTCATCTTCTGTCCGAGAAGTACTCTTAGTGTCCCGGTCCCTAGTCTGGTCCAAGATACTTCCGGTGGGTTTGCGGGTAAGCGGCTCTCAAGAAGTGCTCAGGGTCTGTGAACCTGCTTCTGACTCGATTCATCTCAGTTGTCTTGGCGGTTAGCCGTGATAGAAGCTACTGAGCTGAGGGATGACACAGCTAAGCGCAGCTTGCCGAGCGGTTCCGTCTTAAGCTTGTTTCGCAAAAGTTTGCAGATCTTCCGACTCTGTCCGATGCTCAAAATGTCAAACAAGCCAACCTCGAGCAAGACACCCTCGCCCTTTCATATGTCCGGGAAAGAGCCTGATTTGATTGAAATGGACCGTTGGATTAAAGCAAACCTCAAAGAACGGACCCGGCCTTCGAGGGCTCTCGAAACTTCCCTGAGCGGAAAAGCATTTGACACCTTATTTCCGTAATGACTGAAGACTCCAAACACCACACGAGCCCGACCGTCCAGACCTTTGAATGGACCGCAACGTCACATGATGACGTCACCCACTGGCTGACGTCATCCCAGCTCACCTGGTACTCCCCCAGCGCCTGCCGCAGCTTCACGAGCGCCGCCCCCCGGTCCTTCCCCCACACGACCAGCTTCGCAATCATTGGGTCGTAGTACGTGCTGATAACGTCACCCTCGCGGACGCCCGTCTCGACCCGGACGGCGCCCGGCAGGTCCGACGGCGTTCGGAGATGGTGCAGCCGGCCTGCGGCCGGGAGGAAGCCCCGGGGGACGTTCTCGGCGTAAATGCGGGTCTCGAACGCGTGACCTGCGGGCGAACGTTGAGCGGTTGAAATTTAAGGCTGGAAATTTGGGTTTAATTATTGGGTTAGGATGGAGCCGTCGCCGGATCGGAATAGTCCCTTAGCAGACCCTGCGTCGGAGGACGCTTTCAGCGTACACTTGGATGGCTCAAACCGTCACTTTCCAATGGTGAACTTTTGGAGTTTCGGTTCGGGAAGAAGGTCTACGATCCGAGAATGGCTTCGTAATTACAAGTGTGCTTCAGCGATGATTGAAGACGGCTCCTCAAGTTCATCAATGAATTCCTGAATCCGTCCCTGTGTCTACTTGTGTGAGCGGCTGCTCATACATTAGACTTGACAGCGACACCTTCAGGGGAACTGAGGGCGACTGGTGCTCTGCAAAGTTGGTCGCCCAAAACGGAGCAAAAGCAATTGTTCGATCCGGGCACGTCGAGGATACTCTGGAAGAACGTGTGCGCAATTGGGGCAGCTTGAAAGCTTTGAAGCTCATCACCTCCTGCAGGTTCTGCACACGACTCAGAAGAAACTAAACCAAATCAGTGTGCATACCGGGCCAAGTGATATTCTCGCAGCATGCTTTTCTAAGTATGACAAGCGAGAAACGACTGATAATAATTCTGCTGACCTTGCAGCTGGATTCCGTCCTGTAGCAGCGGAATCCGCTCCCCGGCCGCAACGCGCAGCTGCCACTCCACGAGGTCCGTCCCGGTGACCATCTCCGTGACCGGGTGCTCCACTTGGAGCCGCGTGTTCATCTCCATGAAAAAGAACTCCATCGTTTCTGGGTCCACAATGAACTCAACCGTGCCTGCGCCCACGTAACCCACGGCCTGCGGGAAAGCAAGACCATGGCGTTTGAACTTCAGAGATTGACTTCAAGCTCTGGAACGAGAAGCGGAGATGTTCAGTTCCATAAAGAAGAACTCCATCGTCTCGGGATCGACGATGAACTCTAGCGTGCCTGCGCCCACAGAACCCACGGCCTGCGAGAAACAGAATTTCACGAGGTTGATAAACGATTGAAATTAAGGGCTTCATTATACTTTCGGGGTTTTCCCATATGGCAACTGGTTCACGCTTCTGATATTTGGAGCCGCGTGCTCATCTCCATAGAAAAGAAATCCAACGATTTGGAATCGACGATGAACTCTACCGTGCCTGCGCCGACGTAATCCACAGCCTGCGAGAAATACATAATCGTAAGATGTTCTACTACGAGATCGACCTTCTGAAACGCAAGTGTCGGATTTTTCGTTTGCTTGCAGAAATATTCCGTCGTCTCGAAATCGACACTAGACTCTAACGTGCCCACGCCCACGTAACCCACGGCTTCCGGAGGAGGACACCCGATAAAACTTTCTGAAAACTGAAATTAAGATGCGTTCATTTCAAGGAAGAGTCTCATGAACCTGGGTTGACAATAAAGTGTACCGTGCCTGCGCCAACGTGACCCACCGCCTGCGAGGAATGCTCAAGTCAAGACATTCCTACTTGGAAAGCGGAAACCAGCTTCTACTTAAAACGTTCCAGGAAGAAGAAGACCAATCTCGGGATCGACGATGACGTCTGCTGTGCCTGCGCCCCCATAACCCACGGCCTGCGGAACAAGTGCATAAGAACTAGCTTCTGAATGCATGTACGTGATTCATGGGTTCTTTCTTGCTTGTCATCGGTGTTCCAACTATCCTTACATGCTCTTGATATCTTCTAAACACAAGACCTTTCTTGTTCAATCGATCACCCTTCCCCACTTCAAAAGGATGCGGCTACCAGCAACGGATAAACTCCGTGTCCAACGACTCACCAAGTATAGAGAGTCGTTAAGGGCCGGGAAATATGCAACTAGATCTGGCGCTAAACGACGGCCCCCTCACCTTGGCAGCATCAACGGCCGCGCCGCCGATTCTCTTTCGGAACTCGGGGGTCACTCCAGGAGCCGGTGCTTCCTCGATGACCTACCAACAAGGGAAAAGGGCCAGCTGACATCAGCGTGACGTGGTGAAGGACTGCGACTTCTGACATGGGTCGAGGAGAAAAGTTCCTAAAACTCTCCGAACACAACGTGCGTCCTTCTTGACACAGACCACCTATTCTGTGCGCATCGATGACTTCGTTTTGATTGCGCCGGCCATATAACTGGGTGTGCTTTATGGAAGACATTATACTGAGAAAGGACCAACACTAACTGACCAGAAAATAAACAAGAATGGACGCAATCGAGCAAGGAACGAATCAAATTAAGTGAACCGTAGGCCGTGCGAGTCGCCACCCTTTGGCCCGTCCTTTAAACCCAGTCATTCAAACCCTAGACTGGATAAAAAGAAAGCGAACCAAAGTCCGACCAGCTCGGATGACGACAAATACCAAAATGGCCGACCATAACGCTTCTGACCTTTTGATGTCGTCGCTGAACGCTGCAGTCCCGCTCGAAGAGGTGCACCGCGTTGCCGTGCTTGTCGCCGAAGATCTGCACCTCGATGTGACGTGGCTTCGGTAGGTACCGTTCGATGAGCACGCGGGAGTCGCCGAAGGAGCTCATCGCCTCGCGCTGCGCTGATGCGAGGGCGTCGCGGAACTGGGACGCGTTCTCGACGATGCGCATGCCCTGCAAGTGACGGCCATGAGTGTTTTAGAGCGTATTGACGCCCATATCTCCTAGAGCCTCCAGTCTGTCCGACTCTTTACGTCAAGCGTAGCCCGCAGAAAAAACAATAGAAATCGCTCAAACGATTCTCCAGCTCAAACTCGCAGAGGTAGATTGGAAAATGCTGCGGGTAGAGTGAGACACGCCCACCTTTCCTCCGCCGCCTTGCACCGCCTTAATCATGACGGGGTAGCCTGTCTTCTCGGCTTCCTTCTCGAGGAACTCAGGGGCCTGCTCCGATCCGTGGTACCCCGGAACCACCGGCACGCCCGCAGCTGACATCAGCGCCTTCGCCGCACTGCGAAGGATGACGTCATGCTGTCAACACTCAAGACGAGCATTCATTCCTTGGTGGCTGCTTAGGCCGTTTTTAGCAAGCTTGTGACGAGAGTCTTGTAAACATAGTAGTATGGAAAAGATGCCGTTGAGAACCGTCAAGCTTCGTCACTTGACAGAATAGGGATGGGAAAATCGGCGAAGTGGCCTTTCGTTTAGGCCACTGCAGTAACAACCAATTCCTTCGCGATACGACCTTTGAAGGTCGATGAGCTCACCTTTTTGAACCCATGGCCTCAATCGCCGAAGCTGGGGGTCCAATAAACTCGACTCCGGCTTCGGCACACTGCCTGGCGAACTCGGCGTTCTCTGAGAGGAAGCCATATCCAGGATGAACAGCCTGCGGATGGGTGAGAAACAAGAGTGTCACGCTCGGCTATTGGGCAGCACTTCTCAGCGTGATCAATCAAACGAGATATCAAACTTGTTCCCGTTCCTAGTTCATAAGAAGTAGGGAGGAGTTTCTAGAGCAGCCACAGAACCGTGGGATTGGGATTAGGAGTAAACGTTTTTCGTTGTCAGCACGTGCAAATGAAGTGGATTGCGCAAGTGAAGGCGCTAGGTTTGGACAGCCCAAGGGCCTGCTCTTGAAACGGCGGTATTCTCATGTGAGCTGGAGTACCCGTGACGAAAACAAACCGCAGCTTGTCTTCCACAGGAGGATTGCAAGCGCATTGTTGTGCAACCTCCATTATATAAATGATCCAAAAAGTGTCCATTGCTAGTACGTGGATTTGGAAGAAAGATGATTGAGACTCTTGTACAGAGACGTTGTGGCAAAAGAAACGGTTCCAGGAGTCGTGATGACGTAAAATCAGAGCGGCCAAGGGCAGCTTAGAACAAGCTGCGTGTGCTCGCCTTGGCCCCAGTTCTGAGAGCCGCCTCGAGAATCTTGTCTCCTCTTAGATAGCTTTTGCTCGATGCCGCCGGGCCTATGCATATGGCCTCGTCAGCCTGCCGGACGTGCTCCGCTTGGGCGTCCGCTTCACTGTACACCGCCACCTGTTACAACAAGATGGTCAGTTGGAAGCACTTAACTACAGTCCAGTTGCTACCTATGTGTCCTAAGTGAATATTGTTCAATTAGAATGCATGCATACCTTCAGCGATTGCATTTGAGAAGGGCACCAAGCAGTATACAAGGAAGCAGGGGCTCCAGGCTCCACACTTGGTGACTGGATGCTGGCAGCTTGATTGAAGGCCACTATGTCATCTAGTCCAGAATAAGTTCTGTTCATCAAAAAACTCACAAGATGATTACATTGCTGTTTGGCCGGTGTAACAGCTGAATTGCAAGGAGACGTCAGTGAAGAGAAGTGGCTAAATTACAGCCAGAGCAAAGAGAAAGCTGACCGAGCATGTTTGGTCTTGCAACACGGTCTTGAAGGGACTAAACGATTCACTGAAACCAGGAAAACAATACACGATCAGTATGCTCAATGCTCTTTCCTGTTCGACCTAAGCTTTCAAGGCCCCAATGCAACTTGTTGAAAGCCACAAAAGTTCAACTGCAAACCCCTCAAACTTTCAGACATGGCTACATTTCAACTCTGTTTTTCATAAAAGTGGCGAGAAATTTGTGCCACCAAGAACTTCATTCAGTACCAGCTCACCGTTCGGACACCCAAACGCTTTGCTGTCCTGATTACTCTGCAGGCAATCTCCCCCCTGTTTGCAATCAGGACAGTGTCAATCACTGGCGCTGAAATATCATCAGCAGCTGCAGCGACAGAAAAGGAACGGAGACAAACTTCACTCCTCTCTGATTGTGGAAGCTGAAACGTTCTGCTGTGGCCAAGTTTCGAGACTCCACAAATGTACCCTCTTGCAAATTGCCAATGGTGAAACACGCCTTGAGACGCTTCGCGCGGGTCTGTGAAAGAGGTGATTTGTCTCCCCGGGGAGCTATAGATTGAGACTTTGGAGAGGTTGCAACTGCTTTTTTGGGGGATGCTGCAGACTTCAGCTACTCTTTTGGCTGCTCCAAAGGAGTCACTGCTCTGTGTACTTCTAATGCCTCTCAAGACAGACCTGGTCAACAAGCGCTCCATTGTTGTGTCGCTCTGAAGACGACTCAAAATCCTTGTCGCGAGTTGAGCAACTTAGTCACAAAACCCCCTCTCCGTTTGGCAGCTTCTCAATATTCTGCCCTCAGCTGAACAATGCATGTCACACGCTAATCCAGATAGACACCATAAACACAAGAGGAGCAGGTACATCCAACTCGGACAGCCGTCCTTGTCTTGAACTTCAAGTTGAGGTTGCAGGACTCGGAGGATGGCGCGTGACGGGGCCAGGCGGAACCCTAAAAACTGAGGACCCGGCCGCGTGAGCGGCCGTGTTAAAAGCTGAAAGCCGCCGCGGTCGCAGCCTCATCGAGGGCCGGCGCGACCTTGCAATCTAACCAAGCTTCATCGGACGAACGGGGCCACAAGTTGAAACCCTCGATCATCTCCGCGCCGTCGATGACCAAACAGGAATTTAACGAGCGGTCATCGCGGTTCGCAAAATTCGAGGCAGTCCCCGACCAGGTCGGCACCGTCGATGACTTTTCCGTACGGTGACTCAGAAAATCGACCTTTCCTGACAGGAGCGGGGGGCTGTCGAGGGGGGGTCGAGGACTTTGCATCTGTAAGTACTTACGGGTTTGGTGCACCCGTCAAAAAGGACAAGTTACGGTACAGTACGTCGGTCGGGATACTTACGGCCTGGAGGTGCCGTGAAATAGCAAGTACTGCGACCGGGACTCCGGGATCGATCACTCGGAATTCGAAACACCGTCGGGATCGGACCACCGGGCGCGAAAACGCCTCGTTTTCAGGCAGCAGGTTGCCCGGAGCTTACACTCGGGCTGGTACCCGGACCGCCGGGACCTGCAAGGGCCTGCAGTTGTACTTGCACTTGACACTTTGGCCAATTGGGGCCACAGGCGGGTTACCTATGTCAGACCTAAGTGCCGAGTTGGCTTCGGACTCGGCATTTTTTCTCTGGCAGGTCTACAGCACCCGCCCAGAACGCAGCGCTTCACACAACTCTCCCAGTTGGGTCTGCAGTCCGAGCTTGTGCAGCTGTGACTATCGATGGAAATGCGGAGCCCATCCCGAGCACTGCTGTCAAATTCTCAGACGTTGGAAGCGTTCCAGCAGCAGTTCCACCGCCTCCGTCCGAGGGGTTGGGAGGCGGACGCACTTCCTACATTAGAAAGCAGGGCACAGGCGACGGGGACTTTGCTTTCGACTACGGGTATGCTTTTGCACTGCACAGAGCGGAGGCATTCACGAGGGATGGCTTTGGTGTAGCATGCTCTGGGCTCCAGTGCAAGTCGAGTGCACCAGTGTACTCTCGCAAGAACCCACCCTTTCACTGGGAGCGGACACGGAACAGGGGTGGTGCAGTGATCTGCCCAGGGAAGGGGGGGCATCTCATCTGCCTTCGCTGCGTCGAC